CCTACAGTTACTGATGGACTGGATTAATTCAACCCTGAAACAGGAACACATAATAATAAAAAGCCTGGAGGAAGATCTATTTGATGGCCTGATACTTCATCATCTCTTAGGTAAGCTGCCTCTTTGATCTTAGTTCTCAAGAACATCTTGTAGGCTTTTCCATTCAGGAACTTGCAGATAAAAGAACACAACCTGTTGTAACAATCGTTGTTTGCTGGCACCATCCTTACTGCTAATGCCTCTCTCTCTAATTCAAATAAAGAAAAGCATGCCACTGTGAACATTTTGTTACAATTGCAATTTAGAGCAAATACTTGATGATTGTTTTTATTTTTCATCTTGGAAAGTCATTTTGTTCCATCCTTAATTCAAAAAATAAAATGGTTGTCTTTAAAGTGTGAGGTCACAATACCTCTGAAAGGAGTCAAGGGCATCATAAACCAGAAGCTTGATTCTGATTTGCAATATTGTTGCCCTGTGAGGTCAGGCCAACTTTCAGGATCTCAATATTCTGCTGTTAGACAGGAGGGTGTGACACAATTACACACATACAAACACACAAATCAATTGGGGGTGCGCGCATGCACACACACACACGCACCCCCCCCAACTCAGGCACATGCATACCTATCACCAATTCAAGCGCCTACACACTATACACATCAAAAGTTAGACAAAAATCAATTGTCAATACCCACACACTCAGTACACATACACGGATTACTAATTCGTATATCATGCACACAATTTGTATGTGTATGTGTGTATGTACACACACACGTAAGTTCCTTGCTTGGATGGTATGGTATGCACGTGTGTGCTTGGGGTACCTGGGATACTTGGGGGAAGGTTAAGGTGAGAGAGAGAGAGTTAAAGTGTAGGGAGTGAAAGTTGCCAGAACTGGGATTAGAACCGGTGGACTAAAGAGAAGCTGGTTGAGGAACTGAGGCTTGGGTTTACTTAAGATCAAGTGGCCCCAGGGTTACTCGAGGTCACTAGTGCAAGGGGGAAAAGCCTGGTGGCAAGGAGGAGACAGTCAGGAAAGAAACTGAGGCAGAAACCTGGGATCTCAGGGGAAAAGGCAGTGGAGACAAAGCAATAGCAGTGGCAGAGATCTGGGGAAAAGGAAAAGACAGTGGGGATAAGATGGTGGCAAAGAAACAGGGGGTTTGGAGGCAGAGAGGAGCTCAGGACACGTGTTGGAGGTGGTGGTGAGCCAGGAGCAGGAGAGGGAGAAATAAAATAGAAGTTAGAGGGGCGAGGAGCAGAGATTGAAGCAGGGCCAGAACCGTAGTAAAGCAAAACCCAACTCAGGGTCCAAATAACTATTGGCGCGCGCGCGCGCGCACACACACCCACACACACACCCACACACACACCCACACCCCCCCCCCTCAATGGCAGCAGGAGAAAGAGACTCAATGAAAGGGCTGGAGTCCAGATAGGGAAGAGAAATAGAGTCCAAGTCCTTGGTTGAAGAGAAGGTGGAGGGTGATAGCTACCTATCCAAGCTGGGAAGGGGTCTTTGTCCAGTAGGTGTTGTCCAGAGGGAGGTTGTCAGCAGGGCCTCTGGGTGGATAGGTGATGTGGCATGGCGCTGGTCCAGATGGAGAGGGTGTCCCAAGGAGTCAGTCTTCACTACCCCTTTTATGGGGCAGACTACCTCTGATCTCCTGTGGGGAGAGCCTGTCCAGGCAAGGTCAGTCTTGTCTCAGAAGGCTCCAGGTGTTCTTGCTGAGCATGTGCAGCCTTGGCACAATGGTGGGTTGCCTCATCTTTTGTTTCTTGAATGCTGAGGGTGGTTCCACTGGCTGGGTCATTGGCCCAGGTATTGGTGTTGATGGTTCGGTCATTCAGAAGGAGCTATTTTAGACCTACTGCCATTGTCTCAAGCAGCCGCATTCATCCCCATTCATCCGGGAACCAAGTTACATCGGAGGGGTCGGTATGAGTCATAGGTTACACAACAGGCCACGAGGAAAAGGTGAAGACTTGACAAACAAAATGGAAACTTGACATGACTTATGCTAACTTACATATGTAGGCCTAAATCATATAGTACCAGTAAAACAGTAATATAGAACAGTAAAAATCAATATAAACAGAATAATTATACAATATAAAGAAGAAGAAAAAACACAACAAATACAACTCGCTACCAAAATAAAATGCTGAAGCTTATCCTATGTCTTAGCTCACTTATACTTACCTATAGGGAATAAAGAGGGAGAGAAAAAGTCAGAAATGGTTGGGGAAGGGGAGGGAATGCATTTAAAAAAAAAAAAAGAGTAACTGAGGGTTTTGCTACAATATTACCAGAAACCTCAGATGGAAATAAGATTGCAACTACACATTTTTATCGGTGGATGATGGTGGTGTTATTTAAAAAAACAAACAAACAAAACATTATAAGTCTTGCTCAAGCTACAACCTCAGCTGGTGTAAATCAGTGTAACTATTCACTTCAATGAACCCACATCTCTTTCTTGTAGGGTCTCTAAAAAGTGCCCACTCTGGGCCTAGGGGCCTACCACTACCTCCATAATGTTACTACTGTCCTTACCTTGTCTTTCACTCTCTTTTGTCTGCACTGGGGCTTGTGCAGCTTCTGACTGCTAACGTCTCCTAAAAAGGTCTGCCTCAAATAGAATGAGTTTTCTTTTGCAATTTGGGAAGGTGATAATATATCCAGGGACAACATTTCTCCCCACATATAAGGAGCTACAGGCTTAGCAAAGAAATTGGCAGGAAAAAAATGCTCACTGGAATACTCCAGCTACTCTTGGCAAACCTGAAGGTTTAGCTGCTGTAAGTCACATGGCAGTCTGTGGCTATACTCTTGAAATCAGACCCCTGGGCAAAGTGTAGTGACCTAAGTGAGGCTGTGCATGAGTGAAGGTTGTATCTGTGCAAAAACAATTATAGCAAGCAATTGTGTATCTATGTGTTGTTTAGTTTTGCTGATTGCTTAAATCAAGTGCTTGGACATGTGATCTATTTGCAGTGGTGTATGTGGATGATACATGGGACAAAATCCTTTTTTGCTTTGAGCCCCTAGGCTCGGTACTGACATTTAAAAAGCCCAAGGTGGAAACGATCCAAGTTACTGGTTTTCTGTAAGTGGCATAGTTTCAAGTGGTAGTGAACAGAACACGCGTTTGCCCTTTGGTGGTCGGGGGAGGCAAATCTTAGAACAGGTTCCAACATATTTTTAAACAAGACTATGTATGCCAAACTTATGTTCTGTTATGGGTATAGACTGGTTTCCAATCACTTACACTGGTAAAAGGGTAATGTCTGTACCTAGTCCTAAATGCTATGCGTAAGGCTGTGTAACTGGAGCTTGCAGCACTTGCATACAGTTTGGGATTCTATTCCCCCAGTGGTTAAATAGCACTGCCCTGCATTCATACATGCTGAAAGTGAGACAGAGAAGGAGGAGTACCCTCTGACCCCAAGAGCCTAGCCAGCTTCCAAAGGTAGTCTGGAAAAGTTTCAGAGTAATACCTAGCTTGTGGCCTGGTTTTTAGATTCATTTACTGGGAAGCAGGAGAGTTTGGTTCAAACCCCTTCTAAATGAGGGGGGCCTAGAACTCGGATTTCCTGCTTTCTGGGCAAGTGGTTTAACAGCTTGGCTGTTGAACTAAAAGGTGAGAGACTTGCCCCCTGCCCCTTCCTGCTGCTGCTGTGACTTATATCCACTAGTCATAGTTTTTCTGTGACTATAATTTCAGGACTTACCAAGCCTTATGCACATATCTAGGTGATTCCATATGAGTGAACAACTGCCTGGCTGGGGTGCAGGCTCACTGCAAGCTTAATGAGGTTGCATGTGCTTTGGTGGACAAAGCAGAATTTCAGTCTGTACTTAAGTGCCCAAAACTGCAGTTGTATGGCTGTGTGTGTGTCATTTAGGATCATAAAGATTAATAGAATTCAGCTCACAATATACAGCCCTATATTGCTGTAACAAGTCTCTGACAGAGAATCGGTTAAAGGTTTGCATGGCAAGAGATGTGATTATGGAATTGGGGGCCATATCCCAATTGTGCCATATTGCCAGTGCAAGAGGAGCCTGGGATCATAATCCTGCCCCCTGCACCAGCAAGGCTCATGCCCAGTGCTCCCATGGCTGGGAGCGCCAGTCAGCTGATCAGCGCTCCCAGCTATGGGAACATATGGAGCCCTTGGCTTCAGTACACTCTCATGACTGGGAGTCCTGAGCAGGTGACTGGCACTCTCAGCCCTGGGAGCATAAAAGAGCCAAGGCTGGGAGAGCTGATCAGCTGATTTGGCCACATGTTCAAATTAAGCTGTGATGGGAACCCTCCACAGTTATTGCTTGTACTTTGTGTAATGACTTTGTGGCTTATTCCCTGCTTTATTGCACCTTTAATTGCATGAACTGTGTCCAGGTTGCTACTTAGTAACATGATTAACTGGTTAATCACATCTTAAGTGTAATGTTTGCAAAGGGCCTTAGTGAGGTTTAGTGTAGAATTACTCTGGGGAAAAACAAGGGGTAAAACAACAGTGATGTACATGTTCATTAGGGTGACCATAAGGGAATCCAGGACAACTGAGACATCTGGGACACTGCTACAGGCACTGGTGGAGGCTAGTGGGCAGGGGTATGGGCTTAGTCTGGTGGGGAAGTGAAGCTGCCTGGCTCACTGTGCTGCTCCACCTCCCTGCTGGACTATGCCCCATGCCCCTAAGATTCTGGGATTCCTGTCTTTAATTTTTACCAACCAGCCGGGACTGGCCTCTGAATCCAGGACTATCCTGGGCAAACTGGGACATATGGTCACCCTAATGTTATCTATCTGCAGCATATCCCAGAATAGCTGTTTGCTTATGCAAACTGGATTTTCCCTGTTCTCCTTCTGTCTAGTAGTATATTTGAAGGGAGGTACCCAGGGCAGTAGCCCACATGCTGCCTTTGTGTAGGGCACAAACATAGCTGTAGGCAGCTGCTATGGAGGCCTGGGAGCCACCCTGTTATGCCTTTGTTGCCACTTAACAGTGAAGTCTTCTAATAGCTACCTACTGCTTGTAGTTGCTCTAGGTTAGTTGCACACTTGTCCACTGAGGATTCTGATGTAATTCCATTGGTGTAGAAAACACATATGTTACACCAGCATAAGAACGTTGCACGTCCAGGCTTTAAGCTCTTTTGGTACATCTGTTGTGATATTTGCATTATTTTCAGGCTGTTGCTAAAACACAATCTTCCTCTTCTTTCCTCTCTCTCGCACAGAAAAGCTAGGATCTCTCAACCTAGACGTAGAGAAGATTGCACTGACAGAAAACAAGCAGAGACAGAAACTTACTGTGATTCTAGAAGCTGTGACCAAGTGTTTGCAAGTAGAGGAAAGCCAGCTGAAATGGAGTATTGATTGTATGTATGGATGTAAAATAGAAGGAAATTCTCTCAGAAGATTATACTATATTCTGTGATCTCACTGGACTAGGAAGGTGCTACTAAAGGAAAGATGATCTTGAGGTTAAGATGCTGGAATTGGAATCAGGAGAATTGGGTTCAGGTCCTAGCTGAGGTGCAGATTTGACACAGGGCAGGTCACTCATCTTTCACTTCACAAGCTATAAAATGGGACTAATACATCTGCTTCATGACAGTATGCGGAGGCTCAGTATCTGGAACACTTGTATGTTCTCAGGTAGTGGGCACAACAAGGATGTAAAATATTACTGTGAGGTTGTAATGAGCTTGCATATTACTTATGAGATCTTCTCTTTATATGAATAGCTATTTTGAAGAAGGATTTGCTGAGCACATTGCATCTTCTGATTGCCATAGCAAAGCACTTCCAGCCTGATCTGGCTATCCCTCCAAATATTCATGTGGAAGTAGTAATAATTGAGGTAACTTTGTCTTTTATGTTTGTTACTGTAGGCCACAGAGACCCCTTGCAAGATTAAGCTTATTTTTAAAATATAACTACATATAGAGCAGCCATCTCTACCTCCCTCACAAAAGGCACTCTGCTGGGACTATCATCGTCATCCCCCATCCCCTCCTTCAGTTACACTACTGGAAAAGATGCAAAAACTGCAAGTAGCTTAACAGGTTGCAAGCATTCCAAAGCTTCGACAGAGGATGACAAAAGTGCCATTCATTAATGATCAATTTAGAACCCAGAATCTGAATGAAGCAAGACAGCTCTTAGTGATGGCTCTGAGTGGTTTCTGAACTTACAGACTCATTCCCTTCACCTGTGTAGGATTTGGAATTTTAGGGGTAACAGTTCAAATGCTCTTGAGTGACTTAGCATCCAAATCTATTTGAAAGTAAGTTGACGTGTCTACACGTGCACTTTTATGTGCAGTAGCCTATTTTACTGTGCATTAAAATGTCATGTAAAGAACTGTACAATTACACTAATGCACAGTAAAATAGGCTACTGTGTAGTAAGCATCATTTAAAAAAATGTGCATTTTTGGTACTGCACATTAGGGCAGCCTAATGCACATTTTCGTACCTCACATTGGAGGTACTACATTTAATACACATTAGGAAAAGTGCATTAATGCATGTGTAGATGCACCCAGTGTCATATTTGAAAATGGAGCTTAGGCTCCTAAGTCAGGATGAAATTTGTGAATATTTTAAACACTTAGTTGATGACATCCAGCCTTTCATGAAAGTCATCAAGGTCAGGTTTCCTTGCTTTATCACGATGGTTAAATATAATTCTTCTGTATTTGCTTTTGTTTAACAGCGTACAGCGAAAGGCCTAAAGACGGAAAATGCTGTGGAATATATCACAGATTGCAAGTAAGCAGGAATGTACAGTTAGGAAGGGTTTACATGATCTCTTCATTTATTGCCAGAAATGTCATGAAGGTTATTTAAAAAATAACATCTTACCCAACATATCAATCAGAAAAAACCTAAATCTTAAACTGAAGTTATCCAAAAGAATAACAGTAGTACTTGTCTGATTGCTGTTCAGTTACAATCTGTAAAATAATTTGTATCAGTATTTGTTAGGCTTAGGAAATCCTATTGTGACAGAATTATTGCATGAAGCAAAACCACTTATTCATTTTGTAGAGTCCTTACTAGGTTTTAATTGATCTTAGTAAGATCTAAAAAATGTCATCATATTTGTAAGCCAAGCTTTTTAGGTTTATACAGCCAGGATTAAAACTGCAACAGCATAAACCAAACCTGGTTTACTTCTATTATGAATTTATTAGCATTATTATTATATTACCAACATTAGGGATTTTTTCATGTGGAATTAAAGAAAATAATTTTATAAGCTTGCTTAGTTTGTGAGATCCTTTGATTATTACCTAAGCTTACAATGGGATACAATTTTAATATTAAGAAAATTATGGAGAATTTTCCAAGAACTGGAAACAGTTTTTTCTCCTATAGTTCCATCAAACTATTATTATCTTTCATGTCAGTACATCTTTAAATTCTAATATCAGGACCAGCTTTTCAGAGAAGTGTATTATGATTTGTGCTTATAAAATAAATGTTTATTGCTCTGTGTGCCAAATAAAACCTTATATTCTTCCAAGAATACACACACTCAGTGTACTTTAAAAATGCCTATTGGAAAGCTATCTGTGGCATACAGCTGGTGAGGTTTTGTACTGTATTGCCTACTTCACAGGATGCCTTGTTCATTCATGCTTTGTTTATGAATAGGATTAGCTTTGTTGCATGTTTTATTCCCTCCCCCCATTCATGCTCTCTTTTTATTTTATCTTTAGGGAGACTTTAGAAGATCAGTCAAGTAAGTTTTCTTATGGCAAAATTTAGTGATTCTCTACTACATTCTATAGACACTCAATTCTGATTTCAGTTGTATCATGATACCTCAGGACTAATTCCAGTGGATTTCATGACTGTGATGTTAATATTAGCAGGAGACCAAAGTTGGGCCCTATGTGGTTCAACTTGATTTATGCCACAGAAGAACCTAATCCGTTTTGGCTATTAGAAGTTTCAACAAAGGAGACAAAGCATTGGTGAGATAAAGGGAGATGAATACCCCTTCACTCTGAACTATGGGTGCCTGTAGCCATACTGTTGGGCTGTTCCAATGCGCTATAATTACCAGGTAATTGCCATGTGGTAATTACTGCATGGTAATTACCACAGTCCAGCCAGTCTCCGTGTCTCATGTATTAGCATCTCTACACTTGAAAATGGTAGCAGGCGTGCTTGAACCAAAGCTCATTAAACAAACTTTATTTCAAGCGCCCCCATTGCCATTTTGACACTAATACACAAGACACTACAGTGCTCTACTTAGAGCAGCTCTCGGAGCCACTCTAATTAAAGCCCCCCTCCTCCCCAACTCTTACCCCTGGAGCATGTGTAAAAGTGCCATGTGTGTCTGCATTAGGGCTGCAGAACTGAGCCTCTGACTTGGTGCCAGATGCATTCAGGTCTCATTTCTATAGTTTGCAAAGCAGTGTTCTGAAATTTTGCTAGTGCCTGACAACATACCTTTTAATAAGCAAGTCAATCCAAAACAGATGGTACCTGCAGAACTCTTCAGTTTAAATTTGACCCATCTGCAGAGAGCAAAAAAAAAGGCCTAGGCACCCTGTTAGCTCTATTTTGAGGACTTACATTTGATGTGCTGGCCTGGTCCTCTGTAAATGGGTACATTTCCTTCCCAAAGAAAAGATTAGGTTGTTTCAACACTTTTATGCTTAGCTCTTATTAATGCTTATATATCTGTGATTGGATGTAGCAGTTTCAGTGATGCATCTATATTTATTTATCACTTACTCCATTAAGTGATCTTCAATCTAAACAGAAGCATTAGCCAAAAGTGAGAAAAATTATCTATTTCCATGGGTTAATCTGTCATAGGAATAAAGCTTGAAATCACTTTGGAAGATAATGCCTTTGTTTTTTAATGCATCTTGCTTAAATAAGGAAAGAACTGTACTATACAAAGGTTTGCTCCAGAAGAGTATGCTCTAGCTTACAAGAATGCTGCAGGCATTAGACATAGCCATACAATTGATTTGTTGTAGTTTTTATTTGTTTCATAACAATACTGCACCAACAACAGGGAAAATGAAACCCAGTGGAGCTCGTTCAACACTGGATCCATTTGATCTAGCAGAGCTGGTAATTCTAATTGGTATTCTTTCCTAAACAAAGCTGGATTTGTTTCCCACACCACAGAAGCCAGACATTTGTTGTAGTTATGCTAGCATAATGCCCTTGACTTTGTTCATCTTGGATCAAATTAATGTTGTTGTAATGTCATGAAGGGAAGACATACAAGATTCCCATTAGACCTTGTCAGAAAACAGGGGTAAGAATTCACTAGCATTTAAAAGCATTTCCATTTTCCCCTGTGTAATGGGGACTTCCTGGGGCTAGTCAGAAGTTAGCCCGCCCACCAGTTTCTGGACTAACTGCCCACATCTCTTTTCTGCCACGCCTTGTTGTTTAATAATTGGTGTCTTAATTAGGCAGGAGGCTGCTGTTTGGTGGCTCTGTTCTCCTGGACCTATATATGCAGCTCCAACGAACCCCTATACTGCATCCCACGCCTCACAGATGACACGCACACAAATGATGCTCCCTCACACCACGACTAGTGCTCCTGTGTCTCACACGGACTCTCACTCCCTCCCTGGAGCAGCAAGTCATTGTGCTCACCCTTGCTGTAATTTTGGATCCGCATTCGGCCTCCTCTCAGCAGAGGATTTACCGGAGTCAGGATTCACCCCTAGCTTCCGGGCTGAGCCCTCTATTCGGCCTTAGGCCCAGCTATGGTCTCGGGCATCTGAAAACATACCTTAGCCTACACCCCACACATGGGGTTCCTACTATGCCCACTCTAGGGCCTTTATACCACACCCTACCCTGGGGTCTTCTCATCATCCTCACACTCAACTACTCAAGGGGCTGGCCCTTGCACTGTCCTTCAGGTTCTCAGTTCGGCCCTACTCAGCCACCTCTCACTCAGCCCTTCAGGCCTACTCCCATTCAACCCTACTCTGTGTGGGGCCACCTACATCCCTGCCCTCTCAGGGCCTTCACAATTGCCCTCTCTCTCCAGGGATAGTTATGTGGACCTGACCAGGGGCCTCTGGGATCTTCCTCCCCTGCAGGCTCAGGTGGTCGCAGCCATGCCTGGACCCACTCCTCTCCTGGGGTCTTCCACCCCCTAGGGCTCAGGTGGCCATAGCTGTGTCTGTCCCTTGTACCCACCGAATTCTGGGGTGTGGGGTTAAGGTGCCCTGACCCACCTTTCACTGGGGTGCAAACTGACCTGGCATTTCTTGGGGGCTCCCACACCACCAGGAGCCCCACCCATGGCAGAATGCAGTTTTAGGTCATGTCCAGGACCAGGAGCCTCCTAGCCATCCCCATAAGCTCTTGCCCTTACCACCATGTGTTCCTGCTCCAGCTCAGCCAGGCAATATTTCTGCCTGGGCTGGCAGCAGCAAACTGCAGCCTTTATATACCTGGTTCTCACACTGGCTGCTACCATCAGGCACCTGCTAACTGCCTGACTCTGCCCTTAAAGTGGCAAGCACCCAAAGGTGCACTGCCATACCCTGGAATGTTTAAACTCCCTTATATAATTCTGTTAGAAATTACTGGAGATGTTCCATGGCCTGGGTGATGAAAAACATCAAACTATATGATCAGAACAGGCACTTCTGCAGTGCTCTTAAGAATGTTGCCAGGGAATGTGTCCCTACTTACCCATTTTCAGTCCATGTGCTCTAAAACCCAGAAATGATGCAGTGAAGTCAGCTTCGGGGCTCCCCTCACTACAGCTTTAAAGCACAATGGAGACTGAGACCTTGAAATTGATGGTGGGAACGTCTTCTCAAAGCCTTATTTCTAGGTTTGGCATGGATGGGCAGGGCCACACTACTTGGTGAAGCTCTCAAGAGTTCTGCAGAAACAATATAGACATTCCT